GTCGACTCTGAGGATCCCCGATCCAGTACACGAGCGAGCCGAAGATGAGCGTCTCGACGACGGCCAACGGGATCTGGCTCGCCGACGTGGCCAGCACGTACGACGTGGTGCGGAAGAAGTTGGCGCCGCGCTGCTTGTAGAAGATCTCACGCTCCGCCATGTACGTCGGGATCTGCGACGACTGGCCCATGGACAGGAACATGACCGTGGAGAAGATGACACCCATGACCACCGACACCTGCGTCGGGTCGAAGTCGTAGAAGACCGTGCAGAACAGCAGGCCCATGATGAGGATCATCAGGAGGCGGCCGAAGATGAAGGGCTTGTTGCGGTACGTCACCATGAGCTGGCGCTTGAGCAGCGTCAGCGTGCTCTCCACGAACGACTGGTGGAACGCGGGCGTCGGCTCCATGACCTCGGCCACGTTGCGCAGCAAGTCTGCTTCGTGCGGGGCCTCGAGCTGGTTGAGCATCTCGCGGTGGATGTTCGATCGTCGGAAGGACTCGGCGAACTCGCCGGCGCCGCGGGGCTGCTTCGTGTGGTAGCTCTGCACCTGGTAGCGGTACTGCTCGTTCGTGCCCAGGTCCAGCAGGTAGTCAGCGATGTCGCGCTCGGGCGGGCACGAGAAACCCAGGCTCTCGAAGTAGTTCTCCACGCGACTGCACGGGCCATGGTACATCACCTGGCCCTCGTTCAGGATCATCACGTCGTCGAACAGCGCGAACACCTCGGGCGACGGCTGCAGCAGCGCGACCACCACCGTCTTGCGGAGCGTGTGCGCCACGCTGCGCTGCGTGTTGATGATATCGTACGTGGCCGCAGAGTCAAGACCCGTACTGATCTCGTCCATGAGCGTCACGTACTTGGTGCCGAACTCCATCTCGCCGGTGGTCACGCGCTTGCGCTCACCGCCGGACACACCGCGGGTCATGGCGTCGCCCACGATGGTGTTCTGGCAGTTCTGGAGTCCGAGCTGCTGGATGATGATGTCCGGGTAGTGCGCGAACACGGCCTTGGCCGCCTCGAGAGCCTCCAGGTTCTCCTGCGGAGAGCCCTTGGACAGCATCTCCTCGCCGCGCTTCGACAGCTCGCCGCCGCAGAACTTGTGCGCGAACTCGAGCGTCTCCTTGACGGTCAGCATGGGGAAGTGCTTGTCGCGCTGGTTCACGTAGGCCACGAACTGCGGCAGGCGCTTGACGATCTGCTCGCGCTGCACGTTGTTGAAGGTGATGTCGCCCTCCACCGTGATGTTCTTCTCAATGGGGAAGCGGCCGCTGAGCATCTTGAGCAGCGACGACTTGCCGGAGCCGGGCTGGCCCAGCAGCAGCGTGATCCTGCCGGGCGCGAACATGCCGCTCACGTTCTTGAGGATCTCCTTGCGCACGATGCGCTTCTTGGGGCCCACGAACGCCTTCTTCATGGTGTTGGGGATGGTCGGCAGCTCGTGCTTGGCGCCCGAGTCGTCCACGACGACGATGTCGGCGGTGACCGAGAGGTTGTTGAAGCGCACGTCCATCTGCGGCATGGCGCGGCCCATGGCGGCCCCGATCTTGGTGGCGACGTACTGGTGCAGCACCTGCGGGCCCTCGGCCATGAGGGCCTGGCCCGACTCGAGGCCGAGCTTCTTGGCCGTGGTCGGCGACGGCTGTGTGGATAATTCCATGTTGGCTGCTGGCTGAGCGCTAAGCAGGAAAATGGAGAATGACTGCCTGGTTACCGGCCTCGATTTGGCCTGGCCCGGGTCAATGCGGGCCGCTGTCAAACAACGGGGTGGACGACCGGACGAGGATGACTTCGTGCGCGCCGAGGGTAAACGGTGCAGCTTGGCCAGGTTGAAGCGGCCGTAAGCCGCGCGCGGTGCGTCTACCGCTCGCTACCGCATTGACGTTTGTGGCGGCGGGCCGTGGCGAGATGGGTTTGTTTGTGGGGTCCGAACTTCAGTTTCGAGCGAAAATGTGTGAAGCAGCCTATGTGGCACGGTGAGGCCGCTGCCACAAATAACAAGAGCTCGCCGTCATCCGGCGCGGGCTAGGTGATAACTGTTGCTGCCAAAACTAGCCGAAAATAGAAAATGGGTGCCATCATCGGAGCATATCGCAGCTCAGACGGCCTGTGATTGGCTGTCCAACCGTCGCGTCCCTTCACTGCCTGAAGGTCCTATGTACGCGAAGGTCCTACAAATTGTATAATAAGGAAAGTGAAGGACCCTTTAATACTGAGACTTTTTTTTAGTGAAAGTCTCCATTTGCTGGACAGGATTGAATGTTGTCGTGCGATCCAATTGGCCTGCACTACCGGATGCACTGCTAAGGAGAACAGGCCGACACTATAATAGCTTGGGGCGCACGCCATGCCGCGAGCAACCGTCACAGCGATTTGCACCGTATTGCCTGTTATTGCCAGCACCACATGAAACCTCAGGGTTTTAAACGCAGCATTACCAGGGTGCTCTAGATGAGGTAGTCGTGCCTCTTTGCCACAATCCGGTGATTTGAGGCACATTACTTTGCGAAAATTGAGGCACCGCTAGGGTTTTAATACAAATCATATATGAAGAGCAGAAAGCAAGTGCCTCACACGTGCCTCACGTGGTTGGCAAGCTACGACGTATCCTTCTCTTCGCTGGTGATATCGCTACCGATGTCGTGAGCCAACTGCATCAAGTCAAAGTAATGGGCAGCCTGCAAGTGACCCTCTAGCGCGTGGTTAGTCAAATGCCTGCGATGGTCGTTTTTAATTCGCTTGAGGTCACTGAAATCACCTTCTACCGTGTGTGTACCAGGAGGGATGCTACCGATACCAACCGCAAATGCCCGCAGCTTCGAGTATTGCTTACCGCCGTCCACTTCGTTCCACGCTTGATCCAAAGGCTTCCGTGACGCACTGTCCACAATACTGCGTAGGTTGGTGTCGACCTCACATCGTTCACGCAGGTCTTTGCGCTGGTTCCATATCTCCATCAATATAGTATGGCCGAAGTGTTCGCGTAGTCTTCTGCGATGTACATCAACTAAACCTCTGAAAGCGGAATCACTACAATCAATGACTTGTGCCGGTGTCGTGAACGCTGAGTAGCGGCTTCATTGAGAACTTCTACTTGAATGTCTTGGATAACATCGATCAGTACTCGGACGGCGCCCATCACAGCGAGAACGAGTTGATGGCGATCCAGTACACTCAATCTTTTGTATACCACCTCAGAAAACGGCGACGAATCGCATGTCACGAGTTCGGTTTTGACTTCGTCAACCGCAGGCGCGCTCCCGTTGCGCGTGTCTTCAAACCTGTTGGCCAGAATTTGTTTCAACTCGTTCAATACTCGGGTTTGGTGTGTTAGGGTGACTGTTTTCCCTTGCAGCTGAGCAAAGCAAGTTTTGATGGAGCGGGTAACGTCAGCTACCACAAAACAACATAACCACCACGTGTTGCTGGAGCTCGGTCGACCCTTTTCAGACTGCAACTTCAATAGATCTTCGTAGCGCTCCGTTAGAAAATGACAGGTGTCGTGTATCGAATTCCATCTTGTAGTCACGTACTCAGGGCAGCTTCCGACGGCATTTTGAACCGATACGTGCGTGTGCGTGGAGGTGATCTCAAAAGCGAGAGTAGAACGAAAATTCGCGAACTCGTCGAAAACAGATAAGAAATCACGAACAACCAAATTAAGCTGGTGACTTCCGCACCAATTCGCTGCAATACCAGTTCCTCCTACTTCAGCGCAAGCACTTCGAACCCGTTTCACGAATCCTTGATGGCACCCTAGCATCGTAGCTACTCCATCAGTGGCAATACCAATTATTTTAGGCAATGACCAGCTGCCCAAAACGTTTTTGAGCGCATCTAGAACCAATTCTGCGTAGGTGACGGCTGTGTGAGGACGTTCACCAGTAGGAATGGCTAAGAAGTGCACATTGTGGAGTTTTCGGCTGCACTCAGATGAAAGCCGCACGTCGAGGTAAGCTTCAGCTGCATGTGACGCTCCGTCCACCAGAATCGACAACGCCCAAACATGCTCCAGAATCATACGCAACGCGGTCAAATTGATCGCGACGACATAGCGGGCCGTCCTCGCGACAATCTCTTGATTGACAAGGCCTAGTTTGTCATTTGCGTAAGCCTCCCTAAAAATTCCGAATACTCCCGAGACCGCTCTAAAGCTTGGAATGTTTACAATGCAGCGAATGATCGTCTCGAACTGTTGTTTGTGGCCCACGTGCAGTACGAAACTTCCGTCGCTGCTCTCCACAAGCCCATCAAACACCGATAACTCCAATATGATCGTGTTACCGCTGCTGTCAGATACCTCGATAGGATCCTCCCGAATCAGACGCTGAATGACTGAAATCATACTGCCTGGGACAACAACACAGAAACCACTCTGGTCGGGCACGTACGAGAGAATACTTGCTCCAAAATCTTTGGCTGAGAAAAAGCGGTCCTGATCAGTGGGTTGTTGAGCAGCTTCTGGTACTCGGCCCATCTTGTCTTGTGTTGCGATTTAAGGTGGTGCACTATATTATCCCGTCGAAACTTCACAAATATTGCAGTGGTTATGCAGGGGCCACGCGTGTCTCCGTTGAGAATAAGGCTCAGCTCTTCTGCTTGAACAATCTTTCCTTCTCGTTTGAAGTTCTCGCAAAATCGGCACACAGCTTGCTCCACTTTTCCTGTGTCTGCGGCCACAACCGGACGAAGCCCAAGTGTCATCGGATAATGACCGACCCAGTTGTCCCTTGTTTCTGCCTTCTTCTTCTTCTTGCGAGGGTATCCGAGAGCTTCGTTGACACTTCGGAGTCTCACCGGACAGCTGCACATCGTCAGCATCAGCCATCTTTACGGCGTCCAGGGAACAGGCGTGCGATGGTTTCTAAGTTTGTATTCGCCTTTGTGAAACCAACCGCAGGTAGATTCTATGAGAATGTATCCATGTATAATTTGAGGCACTCCCTGAAAGTCCAAATGAGGCACTCCGAACTATTTATACACCGAATGCCACATCTAGAGCACCCTGAGCATTACCGAGATGCTGCAATTTGAAGGCCAGCTGGCCAAGACACAACACACTGTACCGAGCGGATCCGGCGGTGCTTACCGGAACCGTGAATCACGGTCCGTGATGATGGCAAGCAGCAATTTCCAGATGTCCAGACCGTGAAAGCCCGCCGCAAGCGCGATGATACCCCGCTGACTGACTCTTCAGTCTCCAGATACGTGCGCCTCGACTGTCGATCCTGCGATGGACAGAAGCACAGCTTCTCCATTCCCACCCCCGCTGAGCAGAGTCTCCGCTGGTCGTTCTCATGAATCCTATGTATCAACGCAGTCGTGTCGACGTGAGGGCAGCTAGGCCAACAGTACCATTACAGCGCGCGGCGGTACTCTATCCGTGTTCTACGCTCATTGAGTGAGCCAACGTCAGTTCAAAGCACTATGTCTATAAACCATGCCAAGACGCCGTCGTCTTCAGGAATGCCGGACTTGTAACGCAAGTCTCTACTCTGGGCCCCTCGGAATGGTACACTTTCGAGTCGACTATTGGGCCGGAAAACTAAATATCCACAATACCCTCTCTAGTTGCGATGCAATCTACAGCCTTCAGCACGTTGAAGTGCTCGGAAGTGATGACTCTGGGCGACTAGAAATACAAAACTAAGGCGGAATCGAGCACGCTTTCGAAACATGCCAAACAAAGAACAATGTATGGTTTACAATATTTGTTGTATTTGAGGATTCGAAATGCAGAAATATACAAGGGTGACCAGCTCATAATAGCCGGCCTCCAGTTTCTAGTTTGCAGCGATCTATCTACCGCTTCTGGTGGTTGATGTAGCGCAGCGAGATCAGCGCCAGCACGCGGAACAGCACGATGAAGCCGATGAGCACGAAGAAGTAGGGCGTGATCGTGTCGTGCTTCATGCCGAAGTACTCCTCCGTGTACTCCTTGATGGTGATGTGGCCCACGGTCACCGGCGCGTCCGCCATCGGCTGGCAGCCCAGCTTCGAGCCCACGTTCGTGTACGCCTGCGAGGCCTCATCCCACGTCGGCAGGTCGTCGCAGTCCGAGAAGATCAGCGCCACCAGGATCGACACCGGGAACCGCAGCGGCGAGATCTTGTACAGCCATATGTAGCCCGACGGGATCGCGTAGGCCGGCGGACTGAAGCCCATGAACGTCATGAAGACGGCGTTGAACAGCAGGCCGATGATGGCCGCCACCTCCTCCGACGGCATCGCGTACGAGAACATTTGGCCCATGTACACCTGCATGAGCACGCTGAGCGAGATGGCCAGCCAGAAGATGAAGGCCACGCCCACGTCCGTGAAGCCCACCATGGGGTAGAACACCAGCGTGAAGAGCGCGCCCAGCACGAAGCAGTACGGCAGCTCGGCCAGCGTCGAGCCCAGGAAGTACCAGAACGCATTATACGTCTGGCTCGCGCGCTCCCTGTAAAAAGAGGCGCGCTCCGAGGACGTCAGCGGCAGCACGCTCTGGAACGCCGTCATCGACAGGAACAGCGACGCCATGTACACCATGCCCACGCCCGAGTTCAGGCCCGAGTACGACGCGTACTCGGCGTTCACGAACACGATGCCGAACAGCAACGCCAAGAAGATGGCCAGCACCATACGCGTCACGTTGTACGTCGGCGTGCGCCAGTACATCTGGAAGAAGCGGGTCACCACGAACTTCATCTGCGTGGCCGACGTGGCCGCGCGCTTCTTGGCGAACACCATCTCCGGCAGGTTGGGCGACGGCACCGTCACGCCCTCCTTGGCCATCTCGCGGTCGAGCACCTGGCGGTACGAGCTCTTGTTGAAGTTGGCCACGAAGTCGATCTGGTTGGCGGCACTGCTGACACCGGCGCCGATGCACTCCAGCATCCACGTGGCCGGGTTGTAGCCCTTCGGAAGCGGGGCCACGCCGGGAATGCTCTCGAAGTAGTCCACCAGGTTGCGGCAGTTCTTGCCCAGGTTGCCGTAGAACACCGTTTCGCCACCACGCTTCAGCAGAAGCAGACTGTCGAACAGGTAGAACACCTCCGACGAAGGCTGGTGGATGGTACAGATAATAGTGCGGCCCGAGTTGGCCACCTTGCGGACACCGTCCATGATCAGCTTGGCGGAGCGCGCGTCCAGGCCACTCGTCGGCTCGTCCAGGAAAATCACACTCGGCTGGGCAGCAAGCTCCACACCGATCGTCAGTCGCTTCATCTGCTCCACGGAGCTGCCGCGGATGATCTGGTCGGCAATGTCTTCAAGTCCGAGCAACTCAATGCACTCGTTCACCGAGTCGTACTTCTTGGCGGCCGGGATCGATGCATCCTGGCGCAGGAACGAGCTAAAAGTCAAGGCCTCGCGAATGGTGGCCGCCTCCGAGTGCACGTCCATCTGCTCGCAGTAGCCCGTGCAGCGGCGAATGGCGAGGTCGTTGGCCTCGTAGCCGTTCAGCAGGATCTTGCCCGTGATCTTACCGCCGGTCTTGCGGCCAGCGATCACATCCATCAGCGTCGTCTTACCAGCTCCCGAAGAGCCCATGAGCGCGGTGATCGATCCAGGGACAGCAAAACCGTTAATGCCCTTGAGCAGCTCGAGCTCTTGCTTCGGGTTCTTCGGGTCGGGCACGAAATAGTGCAGGTCTTGGAAGGCCACCGTCACCGGGGTGAAGTTCTTCTCGCGCGTGTCCATCTCGACGACGTAGTCGTCCACAGTGTCGGTTCCGTTCTTCGTCTTGGGCGTTTCCAGCATCGTGTACGACTCGTTCTCGATCGTCTTCTCCGACACGTCCACGTTCTCGGGGGCTTCGTAGCGGATGTACTCGAGCGCCAGGTACGACAGGAACATGAACCCCACGTACATGGCCGCCGTGTAGATGACGCCGTACACGATCCACTCCTTCTCCGTGTCCATGCCGAACAGACCCAGGTAGTACTCGCCCATCTTCAGGCCGTACTTGGAGCAGTAGTCCA